ATTTGTCACTGTGGCGAGAGATTTGTTTCATTTTAAGGTGCTTCTGATCGTATGAGACTGCTTGATGCAGGGTCTTCAAATTATACATGTACAAAGAAAGAGAAAGAAGGAAGAGACAGAGAGCGAGAGAGAATGAGAGAAAGAAGAGAAGAGGAAAAAAAAGAGGGACAGAGAGAAAGAGGGAAAGGAAGACAGAAAGAAGAGGGAGAGGAAGGAAGGAAGGAAGGAAGGAAGGAAGGAAGGAAGGAAGGAAGGAAGGAAGGAAGGAAGGAAGAAAGGAAGGGAGGGAGGGAGGGAGGGAGGGAGGGAAGGAGGGAGGGAGGGAGGGAAGGAGGGAGGGAGGGAGGAAAGGAGGGAGGGAGGGAGGGAGGGAGGGAGGGAAGAGGCAGGAGGGAGGGAGGAGGCAGGGGGTAGAGAGGGAATTTCATTTTCACAGCTATCAACCTTAAATCTCTTGAATTATTACTCTTGTTCACTGAATTTTACTTTTTTAAATTTTTATTTAATTTTTATTTTTTGAGACAAAGTCTTGCTCTGTCACCCAGGCTGGAGTACAGTGGCATGATCTCGGCTCACTGCAACCTTGGCCTCCTGGGTTCAAGCGATTCTGCTGCCTCAGCCTCCTGAGTGTCTGGGATTACAGATGTGCCCCTATACCTGGCTAATTTTTGTATTTTTAGTAGAGACAGGGTTTCACCACATTGGTCAGGCTGGTCTCAAACTCCTGGCCTCAGGTGACCCACCTGCCTCAGCCTCCCAAAGTGCTGGGATTACCACCAGTATGGGCCACTGCACCTGGTCTGAATTTTACTTTCTAATACTTCAAGCTATTCATTCAAGACTCACTAAAGCCAATTCACCAAAAATATCATCCTGTTACATTTTCTGTGGTAACAACTATTCTCATTATGCAGTGGATATATATTTTTTTCAATGAGAACTTCTACATGAAACAAGAAAGGGCAAGAGGTATAGGTGTGGTTGAAAACTGGATCCAAGTTTGCTCTCAACTGAATGTAGATAATGCTAAGTTGGGTGAGAGACATGATACCCAGCGTTATATTGGGGTTTTTTTGTTTGTTTGTTTGTTTGCTACCATTTCTGAAATGTGTTGCCATTTCATGTGTTTCTCAGGGCACCTGTTGTATTAGGAGGCCTGGCTAGCAAGTTTGAGAAGATTGCATGGAGGTTCTCACACGCCCATGTTGATACTTCCTAATGCTGAGGTGTCCACTAGGTCGGCCACAGAAACGCACAGGAGTGTGCAGGCTTCAATGGCAGCAGCCTTACCCTATCCTCACAGTTTCTAAGGAGTTCCCTGCATGTAGGGAAGTGAGATGATTTTCTTGGGAGTTTATCCTGTATAGTCAAGAAGTTAGCACAAAAGTATATGCAAAATCATGTTAAAGAGAAGAGCTTCCAAACGACAAAGAGTAGAAACATACAGTTACATTGAAAGAATGATTAAAACAGCCAAAGATGGCTGGAGGATGGGAGGGTGTTTAACTATGTGCAGCAGGCAAATGTATGCCCTGCTTCCCCAAGATACCCATGTCCTAATCCCCAGAACCTGTCAATGCGATGCGTGACATAACAAATAGGATTTTGTAGATGTTGCCAAAGGTATGCACCTAAAAATAGGGAGATGATTCTGGATTATTGGGGAGAAACCCATCTAATCACAAAAGCCCTTAAAAACACAAGACTTTCTCCAGGTGCAATGAGGGAGACATGGGAGAAGAAGTCTATGAGATTTCAAGAATGAGAAGCATTTGTACCACTGCTGACTGTCAGTTGGAAGAGTCCACACATCATGAAAGGAAGTAAAAGGCTCCCAGGAGCTAAGAGAAGCCCCTCTGCTAGCAGTCAGTAAGGAAGTGGAGACCCCAACTTTACAGCTGCAAGGAAACAGATTTTCCTGACAACCTGAAGGAGTCTGGAAATGGGCTCTTTCCAGAGACTCCTGATCAGTCCATACAGCCAACCGTTGACATCAGCCTTGAGAAAAACTCACAGTGTAGAACCAGTTGAGTCAACTAGACTTCTCACCTATAGAACCGTGAGATCACACGTATTTGTTACTTCAAGCTGCCAAACGTGTAGTAGTTCTGCCAGCGGTAGAAAACTAAGACTATGAAAACATGGAAAAGACAAGACAGTGGGTCCACGTGGGGAGGTGATCGCAAATGCAGAACAAAGTCTCAGACATAATATGCCAGGGTTCAAAGTGTGGTTCCACTGCGTGGGAGCTGAGCGTCCTTGGGCAGGTGACTTAATTTTGCTAAGCATCCTCTTCTACATAGGCTTTATCTTTTCTTAATGAAATTAATGGCCAGGCATGGTGGCTCATGCCTGTAATCACAGCACTTTGGAAGGCTGAGGAAGGAGGATCACTGGAGTCCAAGAGTTCAAGACCAGCATGAGCATCAGAGGGAGACCTCTTCTCTACAAAACCTGAAACCTAGCCAGGTATGGGGGTTCCCAACTCTTGTCCTACCTACTCAGGAGGCTGAGGCCGGAGGACTGCTTGAGTCCAGGAGTTCGAGGCTACAGTGAGCTGTGATCATATCACTGCATTCCAGCCTGACCAACAGAGACCCTGTCTCTAAATAAAAAAAAAAAACAAAAAAAAAAACCTTGTTTGGCAGGGCTTAGGGGCTCATGCCTGTAATGCCAGCACTTTGGGAGGCCAAGGCGGGTGGATCACAAGGTCAAGAAATCGAGAGCATCCTGGCCAACATAGTGAAATCCTGTCTCTACTAAAAATACAAAAATTAGCTGGGCGTGGTGGTGTGTACCTGTAATCCCAGGTACTCGGGAGGCTGAGACACGAGAATTGCTTGGACCTGGGAGGCAGAGGTTGCAGTGAGCCAAGATCGTGCCACTGCACTCCAGCCTGGAAACAAAAAGATTGAGAATCCATCTCAAAAAAAAATAAATAAATAAAAATTCATGACATTACCCATGCCCTCTAGCCAAACATGTTTAAAGGCACACCTGTATTTGAACAAAGTAGGGTTTACTACCTGCTGCAAAGGAGCACGTATACCATGAGGAACCACGGACTATCTCAGTAAGATGCTGTCAGGGACAACTTCTTAGAGGATTTGCCTTTCTGTTACATGATCCTGAGTAGGGCTCAAAGAATTGGGGCTTTTCTCTGGATTGGATGCTGTCAGAAAGCAGAGCAATTATATTACTGGGTGTCTTCATAGTTCTTACCCAGAAGAAGGGAAGAATTCAGGGAAGCGAAAGCTGTAGCTGGTGAAGCAGCAGCAGTCACTCAGATACAATCACTCACATAAGCCAGCAGAGGAAGATGACTGGCCATCTTGCGATTTAGACAAGACCCATGTTTTGGACTGAGTTCAGCCATGACCACCTAGTGGTTTTGTCTGTCCTGACCCACCACAGTCCTGAGATGGCCTTGTCCGATGCTGACGTTCTATGAAATTGTTTGTGTTCAACAGGCAACACCAAAGTCTATCTGTGAGTGTCAGGCCAGCTCCTACCAACACCAAGCCGTCACCAATAGGATCTTTCAGGAGCTGCTTTTCTATTTCTCAAGATAAAAAACATGAAACACGTATCATTAGTACCAATTTTCTCATTCACTTGCCATTCCTGAGTTCCTTCTCCCCATTCATGTCAATTATCTTTCTAGACATAACCCAGAAACTTTTCTCTTTTTGTCCTTCCACAAGAAATATTGACAGTATTGGGATGTTTCCTTGCCATCCCTCTATTCTATAGGTCAACTTAGTCTTTCTCCCTCAAAGCAAGCAAGAACACAGTCTCATGAAAAGGGAAGAAGATGACTGGAATGGAAGCAAGGAATCTTTAGATTCTCTTGAAAGGTAAAGGGAAGGCTATTAGCACTCATGTTTTCATGCTGTATGTGCCACACACAACAAAGGTGAGGGTACTTGTTTGTTTATTTTGTTTTGTTTTGTTATTCAAGATGGAATCTCACTCTTTTCACCCAGGCTGGAGTGCAAAGACACGGTCTCAACTCACTGCAACCTCTGCCTCCTGGGTTCAAGAAACACTCCTGCCTCAGCCTCCCAAGTAGCTGGGATCACAGGCACCCACCATCAATCTCCGCTAATTTTTGTATTTTTAGTAGAAATAGGGTTTCACCATGTTAGCCAAGCTGGTCTCGAACTCCTGACCTCAAGTGATCCACCCGCTTTACAAAGTCCTGGAATTACAGGCATGAGTCACTGCACCCGGCCTCTTTGTTCAAGGATTCGACCTGTTCTGTCCCAGCAGGTTCCAACAGCCGATCCAGCCACTTACAGAGACACGTGGATTAGGTTCTCTTAATCTGGTGCAGCCAATCCTTGGTGTCTCACAGTCACTTCTCCTTTCTTGAATACCAGCTCACCATACATCTTCCTGGTTATAATGTGCCTTTTGTATATTTTTCCTATATAGAAAAAATGCCCAGACAGTGGCATACAAGTGTTGAGCCCTTCAAGAAAACTGTTCTAAATGAAAGCCATTAAATAGAGATTCATTATACTAATAAACCTTAGATACATAGCAGGATGTGTCCATGGCAAAAAGATGATCTCTCTCTTGGAGTGCCTGCATACCAAGTCACTGGTCCTCCAAACCTGGGCTGGGCTCCAAACCTCCAAATCCAGGCTATGGTGACTCCACCAGAGCTAAACATTGACCAGTTGGGGTCTGTGAGAGTAAATAAAACAGGTGGATCAAGAATATGATGCCATGGTGTCTCCTTAGCTTTTACCCTGATGTTGAGGTGCTTAATAACACACAAATATAACCTTAGGTATCTGAAGTGAGTTAATTTAATCTAATTGATATATAATGCGTAAGATTGTTCTTATACATTATATATTCTATGCATAAGATTCAAAAGATAATGCATAAGATTCTTCTTCTTATGCATTATACATTCTTCTATGCATTATTCTTCTATGCATAAGATCCAAAATGATGCTCTATTAAGTACAAAACAAAACTGATTTCTAGCATTCGCACTGGCAACACATATACTAAAACCAGAATGATACAGAGAAGGTGGTATGGCACCTGTGCAAAAATGGCACGCAAATCGTGAAGCGTTACATTTATTAAAAAAAAAAAAAAATCCTCATTTCTACACTGGGGAAATGGGGTATTTTTTAAAGGGAAGCAGATAAATTTATTGACAGTTCTTCTAATGACCATTTCATTAACTCACTGAAAGCCAATTTACCAAATAACCAACACTCTGAAAACCATTAGTGAGTCTTTGCAATTTATAAGTAGAACCTGGACAAGGAATTGTCCTTTAGTCTCATCCCAGGAAGTTCCATTAATACAATTAGACTTGATGTGCATATCATGTTTTTTTCTAATACATACTAACTGAATTACATTCTTTGTATTTAATAATTACAGCACCAAGTAAACTTTCCTATGTTCCTTTGATGCTACACGTATCAACCTTTGAGTTTACAGCTAACAAAACTTTCCTGGAAGAGCTTAGTTTTTCTCCAGAGGTATTTTAATACCTGGTTTCAACCCCTGGTTTTATTTTATTTTTAAAGTCTGTAAATATGCATGGATTTATGCATATTTAACAGGATTTAACAGGGCTTCAGAAACTCCTTTTTTTTTTTTTTTTTTTTTTTGAGATGGAGTCTCACTCTGTCACCAGGCTGGAGTGCAGTGGCACGATCGCTGCTCACTGCAAACTCCGTCTCCCAGGTCCAAGTGATTCTCCTGCCTCAGTCTCCCGAATAACTGAGACTACAAGTGCTCACCATCACACCCAGCTAATTTTTGTACTTTTAGTAGAGACAGGGTTTCACCATGTTGGCTGGATGGTCTTGATCTCTTGACCTTGCGATCCGCCTGCCTCAGCCTCCCAAAGTGCTGGGATTATAGGCATGCACCACCATGCCCAGATAATTTTTATATTTTTCACAGAGATAGGGTTTCACCATGTTGGCCTGGCTGGTCTCGAACTTCTGACCTCATGATCCGCCTGCCTCAGCTTCCCAAAGTGCTGTGATTACAGGCACGAGCCACCACACCCAACGAAAATAGCTTAAAAGATCTTTTTAAATCTCTTTCTTGCTGGATAAATAGAAAACCTTCATATTAGGGCAATTTCATGTGTAAACCCACATGCTCACACACATACACACAGACAAAATAACTTTAGAGGATAAAAGAAAATGCATTGGCTCACATACTTGCAAAGTTCCAAAGGAGGTAGATTAACTTCATGCACCACTGTATCCAGGGCCTACAAGTGACAGCATCAAGAGTTTCCCCTTTCCTAATTTCTTAGATTGCGTGTCGGTACGTTGACAGGTGGATGGCCACCATAACCCTAGACTCACCTAACAAGCTCAACAACCCCATGAGGAAAAAATAATTTCTCCATAGAGTCTAACAGCAAAGTCCCCTAGGAATCTCTCGGTGGTCCACCTGATCACATACCCATCCCTCAATCAACCTGCCCAGGGATACTGTTACTCTAAACACCAAGAGTTCACTCATGTGCTCAATCCTGTGCACAATAAGAGATTCCAGAAGAACAAAATAGAACTGATCTTCTATTCTGGGGACTCCCGCTTACTACGGGGACTGCCCACTTACTAAGCAAAGCTGAGACAGGTGCTGAATAGAGTTAAAATGATAATAATAGAGATGTTCACAAAATCTCTCAAACTGAGCTGCCACCTGATTCTGAAAAGCTTCTATAAAGAAATAATAGAGGCCGATGTGTTGACTCATGTCTGTAATCCCAGCACTTTGGGAGGCCAAAGTGGGCAGATCACTTGAGGTCAGGAGTTTGAGACCAGCCTGGCCAACATGGTGAAACCCTATCTCTACTAAAAATACAAAAATTAGTCGGGTGTGATGGCACATGCCTGTAGTCCCAGCTAGTTGGGAGGCTGATGTAGGGGCGTCACTTGAACCTGGGAGGCGGAGGTTGCAGTAAGCTGAGATCATCCCACTGTATTCCAAGCCTGGGTGACAAAGTGAGACGCCATCTCAAAACAAAAAACAAACAAACAAACAAAAAATATATATATACACACACACACATATACATACATACACACATACACACACACACACACACACACACACACAGAGTCAGGGCCAGGGTAGTAAATACATGAGTTGACCAGGAATACCTTGTCACCTCACAAAGCAAGGGAGATCTCCATCTGGACAAGGAGACAACAGAAAGACATTCCCACTGGCCAAGGATTGAGCTTCAGAATGGACATTTAGAATGATCATTACTCTCCTTTGAAATATGCAAGCAAACTCACTCAAGCTAATTTGAAAACTGGAAAAAAATGAAAGAAGATACGTATGCCCTATTTTTCTCATATGAACTCTATCTCAGGGTAAGCAAAGAATCATTTAAAGATTTTTCTCTGTAGACGTATTCTACCTAATAAATGAAAAAGGAGTGATGGTAATGGTTGCTAGTGATTGGTAAAAATCTCCAAAAAGGACATCAAGAAAGAAAGGCATTATGTGGTTCCTAATGGAAGTACACAAGAAAATTTATTATGTGTTTTTGCCAAAAACAAAATTGAACAAAAATCTCATCAAACTTCTGAATTTAACCACCAGTCAACAGAAAATATAAAGAAGAGAGATGCAATTAGCAAATCCAGACTGTGTAGAGACTCTTCCACAAAAATGACCTGGTGACCTCAACAAATAGATTGCAAACACTGAGTTGGAGGAGGCACCAGTATAATAAAAGAAACTTCAGGGATGTATCAACTAACTTTAATTTGAGACATATCAATCACGTTCCAATTTCTGATAAATAAGAAAACTTAAAAAAATGTTTAAGACGATCAGGTAGACTTGAACAACGATAGAATGCTTGCTTACATTAAGAGATTATTGCTAATTTCAAGCCATAAATGATGCTAATGACAGTATTTTTTTCCTTAAGAATTCTCATATTCTAATTGTAAGTACTGAAATGTTTTAAAATAATATGATGTTTGGACGCCTACTTAAAGAATCATTGCTTTTCTTTTTTTTTTGAAACAGAGGCTCCCTGTTGCCCAGGCTGGAGTGCAGCGGCGTGATCTTGGCTCACTGCAACCTCTGCCTCCTGGGTTCAAACAATTCTCCTGCCTCAGCCTCCCGAGTAGCTGGAATTACAACTGCGTGCCACCACACCTGGCTAATTTTTGTATTTTTAGTAAACACAGGGTTTGCCATGTTGGCCAGACTGGTCTCAAACTCCTGACCTCAAGGGATCCGCCCACCTCAGCCTCCCAAAATACTGGGATTACAGGCATGAGCCAATGTGCCTGGCCCATTGCTAATTTTAAAGGCATAATAACATTAATGATAATACAGTTCTTTTTTTAAAAAATCTCATTTTTTTGCCTATATATATACTGATATGTTTAATAATAATAGTATATTTTGGATTTGCCTCAAAATACTGATGGGAAGGGAGAGGAAGATTAAAGCACAAAAGAAAGAAGTTTGGCCACATATTGGTAATTGTTGAAACCTGGCGTAGGGCATATGAGGGATGAGTATACTATTCTACTTTTGCGTATTTTTGAAATTTTTCATAATAAATCATCTCAAAACCACCATTAAACAAACGAGAATGCTCCAGCCTGGGTGACAGAGCAAGATTCCATCTCAAATAAAAAATAAAAATAAAATCAGAATGAGTTTAAGTATCACCAAATCACTCTGGCCCACCAATGAATCTGGACTAAAAATGTAGCTCCTGGCCATGCACACTGGCTCAAGCCTGTCATCCCGTCACTTTTGGAGGCTGAAACAGGTGGACTGCTTGAACTCAGGAATTCAAGACCAGCCTGATCAACATAGTGAGACCTGATCTCTAAAAAAATAAGATAAGATAAATTAAAAAGACCAGGCACAGTGGCTCACACCTGTAATCCCAGCACTATAGGAGACTGAGGCGGGCAGATCATATGAGGTTAGGAGTTCAAGACCAGCCTGGCCAACATGGTGAAACCCTGTCTCTACTAATAATATAAAAATTAGCCTGGCATGGTGGTAGACGCCTGTAATCCTAGCTACTCAGGATGCTGAGACACAAGAATCGCTTGAACCTGGGAGGCGGAGGTTGCAGTGAGCCAGGACTGCGCCCCTGCACTCCAGCCTGGGTGATAGAGTGAAACTCAGTCTCAAAAACAAAACAAAACAATTAATTAATTAAAAAAAGAAGAAACATGACTCCAGTATTTGTGGGTATGTTATAAAATACTTAGAAGGAATTTTAGACTGGATATTCTAATAAAATACCCTTCCTACTCTCTCAAGAGAGCCTGATATGTTAAGTCTTCTATACAAGACAACCTGTAGCCATCATCAAACATCCTTCATTCTTGGAATAGTCTGAGGCAAAAGATCACAAAATGTGAAACAGGATTGCAATTTTGAGACACCAAAAAGAAACAGCAGCCATCAATCACAATGATACAACCAAATTAAAATCCTCTTTTGGTTCTTCAATACAACCAGCTGTTCTCACTTGGAACTTTATGTCTCTTGCTCTTGGCAGGGCTAACTCACCGCCAAGAGCTCTGACATCACCTTTCCCCTAAAACCTTGTCTAACACAACTGCCCCATCCCCAACCCATTCTGTGTCTCACTGGCTTCATCTTTCCCCCTTCAGATTAGTTTTCAACATCTGCAGCATCTTATTATTTCTCGGATTCATATGTAAACACTTGAACACAATGGCAGAAACTAGTGAGTGTTGTTCATCCTCCAGTCTCCTCTCCTAAGCCAGTTTCTAGAATCCCGTAGGATTTAGGAATATTTAGCAACAAATATTTGAACATTTAAATGCTTCATAGCTAAATCACTACTAATCCACCAAATGTACTGGTTTGGCTGCCTTCATTTTACACCAAATAACTAAATAAATACTTATATACTAAATATGCTATTGTACACTCAATATAATGTAAACATTATACTCATATCCATTTTTTTTTGTAAATCTCAGCATTTCCTACCTTGAATTTTAACAAAAGAACAGCAATTATCTTCAATTTTAGTTTCTTTTTTTTAGTTTGCTAGGACTGTCAAGCAGTTTAAATG